ATGATTATTTACAACTTTTTTTAAAAAAATATTATTTTTCCATAATCATTTGATCCTTTCTTGTTTAAATACATATCAGAATGTTGATAATGGTTTCTAATCTCAAGTAATTGAATAAATCTAAAAAACTTATTATAAATTTATTAAAAAGGTAATTTAAATATTGATATTTATAGGGATCAATATGTTATATTTTGTAAATACATAACATTTAAAGTTTTATGAGATTATGCTTGCTTTCTTAATTAGTTTTGCCCTTATCTAAATATGCGAGTATTCATACAATAATAATACAAATAAATTGAATCATTCAGTATTATAGAGGTATTTAACTAATTCAGATCTCTTTTTATTATTGAAAATCCCAATTAATATTAATATGAATTGATAAAAAGTAGTTCTTGTGATATTGTTGATTTGATGATTGAAAAACTATGTTAAATTTAGGAATTTTAAAGTAGGTTTATGATGGATTTAAATGAAAATAATATTTGTAAAATATACTTATAAGGATGTTTACTAGGGTGCTTCTTAGGTGCGATGCATACTTTAAATAGTGTTAATTTAAAAAAGGGGAATAAAATTAATAAAAAAGTTCATTGATGGTAACATTTTTTAATTTATGTAAGAATCAAATTGTTTTATTTATGATGGAAGAGATAATATTATTATTATTAAAATATAATCTTAAATTAATAATTAACAAAAAATATATTTTTGAGTTTTGGTTAACCATTCAAATATGATAAATTGTATCTTTAAAATGTAAAATGATAGTTAAATTCAATATCCAGAAGTGATGATTCACAATTCAGTCTAAAATTCACAGTTGGATTATTATTGAAAGTATCACTATTCATAAGAATTCAAATTAAAGTTTAAGTCTGAGTGTATCAAGAAAAACAATACTTTCTAGGGGAAAGATAATTTTAATGTTACAAAAACAAATTAAAGGATCATTATACTAAAATTGGATATTTAGAAAATAAGAGAAGAATGTTGAAGCAGGCAATATTTTTTGAAATAATTGCTTCATCTAGATTAAGAAATTAGAGAATTCATTGAAATTAAAGTTATAAATTTTCCAAGAGGAAATCAATTCAGTAATTTTAAATTAATAATATATCAAATCAAAATCATTATTAATATGAAATAAAAATTGCATGCAATTAAATATTATGATAGTTAAAGAACAAGGAGATTGCCATAAAGTTTAAGTTCTATCTTATATCGAATTATTAGTAGCAAGAGTTAATATCCAAATACTTGGGATTAAAATTTATGAAAAATAAAAATATGGAGAAAAGATTGCTTAGATTGATTCTATAATTTGAGTCTAATCATACAAAATATTTTCACATAAAAAACAGCAATTCACGAATAAAAATATTATTGTCTTTTTTATAATTGTTTAATTATTATAAAATGAAACATTCATCATATTCTATTATAGAAATAGGCATTGATTTGTTATAATAAAATGTTAGTATTCCTATTGTATTTTTCAAAGCCTATTTTTATGAATTTTAAATAAGTTGTAGAATTATTATATATAAATCTATAAAACCTATTGTAGGAGAATGTTTCAATAATTTTAATTTATTTCATTAGAACTCCATAAAAGTCAAATGAGATTATTTTAGGATAAAGAGTTTTGATTAGTAAAGATTTCAGTATAAATTTAACTTCATTATACGATTATAACTAAATATCAAGATTATTAATTTAATAAATATTCTTAACCATCTTCTAATAAGAAAATTATTAAATAAACTGGACTAATAATATAGATAATTATCAGAAGAATACTAAATATGTAAGAAGTTTAATAATAAGGTTTTTGATAGGTGTAATAAGAAATATAGCAATAAATAACAACAAATGTACAATGAAAGAGGATCAAGTGGACATGAATGTTAATAAAGATACTATTTTTTGAAAAAATTTTATACTTGTGCTTGTGCTATTTTAATAAATATTCAATTTTATTCTTGAGTACTTTAATGAGAGATTTTCTTGAAGTATATAATATTTATAGTTCAGAACAAGGATTATCAACTCAAAGATTTATGAAATAATTAATAGTTCATATATTATTAAGTTTTATTAGATGAATAACACAATCTTAATTATAATTATTAATTAACTTTGTTAGATTGATTAAAATAAATCTGGACATAGAAAAAGAGGCTGAAACAGAAAAATACAATAGATATTGCTTATAGGGCATGAAGTTTAAAATATAATATGTATTAAATCCTATTTATATAGGATACTCATTAAGCAAATACTAAAGTATATACAATAAATAGAAAACTTCTAGATTATTAATGAGATTGTAACTAAAATGTATTCAAATGTCAAATAAACTCCTCTATCTCATTAAGTAACAGTATTGGTGTTGATCCAATAAAATTTCTCAACTTATTAATTGAAAAAATTAATTCGATATACAATAAATATGATTATAACAATAAAAATTGACAAAAGATTGGAGAGATGAGAAAGAAATATCTATTAACACTTGTGAATGAGTAAGTAATAAAAGGGGTATTTTTGACATCAAAAAGTGAAAAAATAGAATTTTATAATCATTTTCTTGATTTTAATATAAACGTTAAAATTCTGACAAAACCTAAAATTGAAAAAGGATTTTTTTGATAGCGACAATTTTGCCAATATTCTGTCGTTTGGCTAAAGGTCTTAACTGGACTGAAGTTGAGGAAATAGAGAAGGCCTTGAGAGATTAGTTATGGCTTAAGATCCTTACAAGCTTTCATGCTAATATGTATGATTAGGAGTTTTGTTTAGAAGAATGGAACAGGATCTAATTTTAAAGTTTGTATTAATACAATTGTATTAAGCCAATCAAAAGAAGGATTAAAACTACAAAGATCATATCATCTACGATGGGATTGTGGAAAGGATTTCTAGTCAGTAAAAGATAATAATAAAATTAATCAATTAAATAAATCATTTTAAATGAATTTGTTTAACTTGATCAACCAAGCCAAGTGTGTTAATTTGTAAATAAAATAATTAAAATTATTAAAGATTTCATATGAATCAATAAAAGATATTTAGAAGAAAATATTATCTTAAAAATGATCATTTTTGGAAATGTTAATATAATTAAAATATAAAAAAAATATTGAAATTATAATTTATTCTTGACATTAATTAAATAGGAAATTAAAATAATTAAAAAATAACATAATCAAAATATTTATGATTTTATTCATAAAGTAAAAAGATAATTAACCAGATTTCTAGTAATTAAGAAGCAATTATATTAATAATTCCAGCTATGTTAATATAAAAATGGATCACCAATTATTTTTTCATAATAAACTATTTATTTAATTAATATAAATAAAAGATGAAATCATATACAGTATTGATCATTCGCGTTACTCTTAAATTTGTAAAATGATAATTATAAATTCATGTTCTAAATTTATAAAAACCTATTAAAAATTTTTAGATTATAAACAAAAAATATGCATTTCCCTTGAATTAATAAATAATTCATAATTCTAATTAATATAAAAAGAATACTTGCTATTAATATATTTAAATATTAACATAACATACACTTGAATTCTGTTGATTGTATAACCAAAATATATAGGTAGAGAGGAATATTGATGATATCATATTTATTAATAAAATAAAATTGAAGATATCAAACCAATTAGGTAAAATATGGTGGTGGATCATATAATGTAAGAGGTGATGGAGTTAAGATTGGGTAATGGATTGAGTTAAAAGGAAAATCAAAAGATGTAAATTGTAATGAAGAATATTAAAATGATAAAAAGGTTGTTACATGGCTTATACTGAAAAGAGATAGGAAAAAATGGAGGAGGAATCAAATATGATTATTGAAATAATAATATAAAAATAGAAAAATAATAATATTTATTTTAAGGCTGTGAAAAGGTAATGTTCTCTAAATATTGAGTTTCGAGAAATAATTGGATTTTCTTTATTTTTGAGTAAATAAAATTTGTTTTATTGATAAAAAATTCTAATTTTAGCTTTTTATATGTTAATATTCGTGCTTTATTTTAGATTAAATATTTAATAATATAATTTTAGTCAAAATATATTTTAGAAATTTTTTTTATTGTAGATTACTATCCCTGATATAAGAATTTAATTAAGAGTACCTTATCTCATAGAGCTTCTATTTGAAGTCACTGAACCAAATCTATTCGAATTAAAGCTAGAGTTCTTGAACTAAAGATAAATTTTTTTCTTCATTATAAATTGAAACTACTTTTATTTGTGAAACAAATTTAGTAACCATACAATTTTTATTTCAATACGAACCCAAGACTATTAGCTAACTTTTGATCGAATTAAATTAGTTAAAGATGATAAGATAATTGTAAAAAAATTTTTAATTTAGATTGTTTTTTAAGGTTTTGTCATTTTTTTTTTATTTAGGTTTATTTAATTTTTAATATATTCTCTAGTGTCTATCTTTATCATTTGCCAGTAAGTAACCATTTAAAAAGAGAGATGAATTAGATTTTATTTTTATAATCATTTAACATCACCTTCAAGATTTATAATCTATTTAGATTAATAAAAAGGAAAACTTTTTGATGATTCAAATCAAAAATCACAATTTTCCTTTTTATTCAATACGTAATTATTTTTTGATGAATTATGTTGTTCTAATTGAAATGAAAATTTATAAAACTTTTAATTACAAAATGTTAATTTAAATAATTTTTAAAAGCATTCTCTATAACTGTTCAAGAAGTGCTTTGAACTAATAAAATGGTTTTAGCAATATATTCTGAACATGGAACACTTAATATAAGGAAAAATTGTACCTTAATATTAATATTTTTGAAATCCTCAATAATGCTATACAATTGAATTTAAAAAAAAGGACAAAGAAATGAATCGAAGACCAAGTTGTACTCACCAAAACTCTTCAAGTTACAACAGAGATAGCTCTATAATTTACATCTAAATATCATTTAATGTATGAGGTAACAATATTATTAATCCTACAGGCCCATTTTGAAACAGTAGAATATCTTGATTAAAATTAAAAAAAATGTCAGGGTGTCATGAATTTTTTTCAGAATATTTTGAATGAAACAACTTTTAGAAAAAAATAATAATCACTAGATAAGAAAGTTACAAAATTTTTTTAATTCAAATTTAAAAAGGGAACAATCAGTGTAACCCAATAAATTGGATGGTCGTGAAAATTGTGTCTGGAAAGAAATACTGTAGGTTTGTTTCGGATGGATAACTATTGAATCAGATGATAACAATCTAAATTAGAAGAACATAGTGGAACTGTTTAGTTATATGCCTCTCTATCTTAATAGTACTACATTAGCATCAGGTAATTAAGATAATTCAGTTCTCTTATGAAATGTTTAGACAACAGTAGTATACTGACTAACCATAACTACTAGGTCCATTTAATCAAAATTTCTATTTTTTCCCTTAAAAGTGCTTTATTAGTATATATTTTTCAAGTTAATCTTTAAGGTCAGAAAAGACTAATAAAGATATTTTTCTTCATTCAAAATACCCCAGTATAACTTTCTATTTTCTGAATGAATTATTTAATTTAATATTATTTAGGTCACTACTAATATTATTATGGCATTTTATCCTAATAGCCAATTTTGAAAGCATACAAACTTGAAAGAAGAGGCTATAAATTAATAAAGAGAATACTTCTATTCACAAAAATAGTATTTTATTAATTAAATTGAATTAAAATATATTAAAATTGAAATTGATTTTACTACTAAAATTTGATTAAAATAATTTGAAAAAATCTTCGCATCTAATAGTTAGTATATGTTCCAAAATTCCTTATTAAACCTAAATTAGTTCTCCAATTTTTATATCATTTAAATCAAATACCCCCAAAACTTAAGATATATATATATTATTTTTTTCTGATACAAAGTTTCCTTTGTATACTTATTTTTTAGATTTCATTTTCTCAAATTTTATTCAAAAAGTACAATTAAAAACCAATCCGAAATCAAAAATATTTTAAATGTAAGTTTAATTAAGAAATTAAATTAGATTGGAATCATTAACTAAAACTCAACACAAATTAAATTGAATTATGATTTAATAGTTAAATTAAATTTGCTATGTTAAAGCAATAAATTTCTGGTTCGAAAAGTTTTTTGTTTTCTACTAAATATTATTTTAATGTAAAAACATTATGGATTAATTTAATTTATAATTAAATTTTTGGGATAAGTTATATTTTGTTATTAAAATAAGCTCCTATATTTATTAAAACATAGCAAACCTTTGCTGACTAAAGATTAAGCTATTTATTGTTTCCTATTCATAATTTAAGAGAAAGGAACAATTAAAATAACTTAATACTTTGTCAACAAGTTTTATATTTGAGAACTGATGATTGCCTACATATAATACATGAATATCATTTAATAACAGATGAATTCCTTATAATACCAAGAAATTATAATAGAAGTAATTTAATACATAATCTAAATTCTAGAATTTTACAATAATTATTTTAAATTTTGTTATTTTTTTAAAGACAAATTAAGCTAATCAATTTTAAACATACTTAAACTCAACTTATTATAAATTGAATATATGTTAAATTCTAGTTCTTAACTTAAATTCATTTCAAATTATATCAAATATTTTAAGTATTAAGTATTCTCAATGATCCATAAGTTTTATTTGGAAGTTGATTCAGTATGCTTAGATTTCAAATGGAGAATTTAAACTATTCTTCTTATGCAGCATAGCTCCAAAACTAAATCAAAATATGTTTTTTCACATAATTTCTATATTTTTAATTATAAAATTAAAAATCTAAGTAATTAATACAATGAAGCTTCGAAAGCAGTTATATATGAACTCTGCTTTTCCAAAATTCAAGAGATTAATCATAAACATAAATAAGACGATTTAATGTTTCCATAAAATGATTTAGAATATAAAATTCATGAATTCTTGAATGCTATTTCAGCCTAAAAAATTGATCTTTATCTCCTTCAATATAACATCTATTAAAAAATCCATTTGCAAAGAAATTGATTTTTTAATTAATATATAGATTCTCTTGTGTAGAATATATTTACACACTTCCTCCTCTTGAATGAATAATCATCATAAATATAGATAAATAAATAAGGTAAATTTTTTTTTATAAAAAGAGAAAACAGTTCATTTATTAATAAAATTTTTATTGTAATATTATGGTTTAAATTTAGCCTTGGTAGTTTATCCTATCATTTAGTATAAGAATTACAATTATATTTTAAAATTCATTTCATCATGATTTATGAGAACAGATGGTTCAATACTAAAGAAACAGCAATATATTCATATCTTATAAAATGACTGATAGATTTATAGATTTAAAAGCCTTAATTATCATTTTCTTAGGCCGAATAAATTCAGTTTTACTCTATATTGTACTCATTTTAGTTAACTTATTTTGGAGTATTAAGAATTATTGCAAATTTTATCATCTTTACACAGGTAATTTCTATATATATAGTTTCTTGCATCTTATTTTCCAAGTTTAATCAAAATAAGACTTGAAGTTTAAACATTATCAACAATCTTTTAACTCAAATAATCATTTATTTATGTTAAGAAATCAAATATTTATCATAACTACTTTATGAAAAATTTCACTATAAAGCTCAGATTACCATAGGCTTAATGCAATGTTAGTTTAAATTTGAGTTAAACTAATGAATTTTATTTAAGGAAATGGTAAATTATTTAATGAACAGCCTTTAATTCTAGTTATCTTATTTATATGATAATAATATCTATCATTTTAATAAAATTTAACAATTTTCTCTAATTTACTTTTATAAGTTTTATCTGCTATTTCTAGTGCTCAATTATGTAACTATATGTATTATCCAAATCAATTTAAGTTTTGCTTGATTAGTTTATTTAGGACATACAGTTTATTCTTTAGGAGTCCATACAGGCTAATTATGACTAAAAAGAATAAGACTTGATTAAGGAAAATTAGAAATTCCTTCAATTATCTCTAAATAATTTCCTTCTAAGTCATCTTTCCAAATTTTGAATTTTCTATTATTCTATAGCCTTCCAAATGCTGGGTATATTATTAACACTCCTATATAATTGTGCAAAGAGTTTGATATCAAGTCTGGGTTTATTAGCTTCTTTGAGAGAACAAATCTAATCCCCATTTATAAATACAAACAAAATTTTCCATTCCACTTCAATAAACGTATGGTTCCTTAAATTCTGATATGCTTTAGAGGATATATACTACTCTAATAAACTTTAAATTATTGATTCTGATTTAATTATTAGGGTTTGTCAATATTAAACTATTAATATTTTAATTGATAACTCATTAAATCTCTCATAAAACCATCCTTTATAAGATGTTTTGCTTTTATCAAAAAGATCCTTTGTTTTATTCAAAGATGGTGAATCATGCATGTAGCTAAATTAAATCAATATTTAGAAAGAGATTAGAAGATTCGAATAAAGTGTAAGGC